CCCAGCCCGCAGGGCAGCAGCAGCTCTGACCTCCGGGACCGGCCCTGGACCATGTGGGCCGCAGAAGCGGAGCCTTCCCGTGTGCCACTGAAAATCAACTTGCGTTCCATAAGCAGCACGTGTGCCATAGGTTGCTGACCCCCGGGTTAGTTACAGAGATAAAAGGGCAGCTGTTGTTGCTGGATGTGTACAGTGGAACCTTTGAGGGTAAGGCAACAAACAGGAAAAGTCTGGCAGGCGTGGAGGAAGATAAATAAGTTGTTGTGAATTTAATAGCAGTATATACATATACTTTATGTATCTGGAGCCACTGCCCCTATATAAAGTCCATTTAGCTAATAAACTGTGTACTCTACATAATAGTATCTTTAAAAGGTCATAGGTATTAGCTGCAAAAATACAAGAGCTATTAAAAAAACCTGCTTGGTCACTTACTTTAAATAGTTGTCTTCAGTCCTCTCCTTAAGTACCGTGAGAGCATAAACTAATCTTTCAAGTAAAACATAACCATGTTTCTGTTCCAATAAAAAGCCTCTAACAACTATTATCCTCGTTAGTTTTGTGGAAATATTACTTATTTATCAGATAAGAAATGACCAGAACTAGCACTTCAAAATGTTCTTTGAGTCACTTTATTGTGAAGCTGGTTAAAATGGAAAATAGCACACAGGCATCACAGTTTGAGGGTCTCTTCCTGTAATGTTATTTTATGCAAAAGTTTTATTAATTTTGTAGAGGAGCTTTCAGGTCGGGGTTTTTGTTCATTCCCGTCATTTAAAATAACTTTCAGAGTCCAAACTGATGTGGCATCAATAAGTTTGTTTACATTATTTCAAGTGGCATATCAGCCTGAAATGCTAATGGCAATATGTTGGTAGAGAGTAATCTTAGGATGCATCATGCGCCTCGCACAGGGGTGAGTAATAATTTTTTATAGGAGGCAACGCTAAGTTTTTAGTAAGTGGTCAGAGGCTTCACTTTTCTGTGGAGGGTCTGTGGAGTCTGGGACAGAGGTTGGATGCAGAAGGGAGCTTGGGGTAAGGGACTGGGATGCAAGAGAGGGTGTGGGGTCTGAGACGTTTGAGTGAAGGGAAGGGGCTGTGATCTGGGGCAGAGGGTATCAGTGCGGGAGAGAATTCTGACCTGGGATAGGAGTGTAGGAGGGGGTGAAAGGTCTGGAGAGAATTGTGACCTGGTACAGGCGGGAGGAGAGGGTACAGAAGGTTTGGTTGTGATTTTTGGGAAGGGGATTGGGATGCAGGTTCAAGAGAGGGGTATGGATGCAGGGGGTATTCACACATTGTCCCCACCTCCAGCAAAATCTCTCAGCTCCCATTGGCTGGTTTCTGACCAATAGGAGCGGAGAGATTTTGCTAGCATGCGAATGAATGCGGATAATTGCAGTTCATATTTGGGGATGCGGATACGAATTTTGTATCCGTACAGGGCTTTACCCCTCTCATCAAGCACTTTCTGAAATATTTCCCTACGCTTTTACACACGATGATATCTATATAAGGCAAATGCCTTTAAATGGCAGCAACATATGTTCTTCAGATCTGAGTGTACTCATATACTAAATTTTCGAGATGTGATGCAAAAAAAGAGGGACAAATAAAGAATAAGATAATGCAAAAACTGAGACCCCATTTGCAATGACTTTTGTGATGAAGCAAAATATAGCAAAGAATTGATCCTGCTTCGCAACTTGTGGAAAAGGTGAAAATATAGTTTTTCATAGCAAATAACCCTTTAAGTTACAGGATAACGCATTTTCTTGAGCCATTTGTGTGTAATAAAAGGATTCCATATATATTTGCAGATCAAAGCTACTGCATTGCTGTTTTCTACTAATTGAGCAGTCCTTTTATAAATATAATTTCTTAAGCTTTTGAGATTAATACTCTACAAGCAATGCATTGTTTTTGGTATTTATTGAAAATAGGAATTCCTGAAGATTTAGACATCCAAAACAAATTGAATAGAGATTTTTATTTTTTAACTTTCTAGTCACAGATCTTTAAAATGCCAAAGAAGGGGGGTAAAGAGAAATATATCTTTATCTATTTCACAGTCAAGTCATTGAAGGATACTGCTAATCAACTATTACCTTTGCATGAGTCTAGATCTACAAAAATAACATGTGCCTAAGATATAAAACAGTCTTATTGTTCATTTTTTCCCCCCTCTGTCTGGTGGTGGTGGTAGGAGTTTGCATCCAGTGGTGTGTGAGGGGCTGATAGGCAGGTTTCGTTTCAAGATAAAACAGATAGATACTGCTTCATAGATGTTCCATCTGAGCATTATCAGTTGACTATTTTACATTAAACCTTGATTACTTCAGTTACTTGTCATTATTTCCGCTGGTCTCTCTGAACAAGTTTTTTTGTATCTTGTGTCTCTGAACCAGTTTTTTTACATGCTGTTACTAGAATATTTTCAAATCTATTTCTATTTCAACAGTATTTTGTTAAGTTATATATATTTGTGTACAAAAGTATTTTAATTTTAATTCCGTGGCTGCTGGAATACATACATTGAGGTATTGCCTAAGAAAATCCTACAGAAGGCTACTAAAGAACATTTTTACTTCTCACTTTTTAAAGCATTGATGTATCAACTAGGTTGCTCTTGGAACCAAGTGTCTCATTAGACTCTGCCAAACTACTACAAATGAGATTAATTGAAAAAATACAATACTAAGATCAGTCTTCATCTGGCAATTGAGGAGTACTTAAGGTTTTTGAACAGTCTTCTGTCTTCAGCCTGAAGTAAATAAGTCTTGATCCTGAATTTGTTCTGTGAATAGCTTTATGCTTACATTTCATTGCCTATTGTCTCCCACTTTCAACTTCTTACCCTAAATGTTTGCTTTAGCAAAATGTTCACTAGCTTGTTCCCTTACATTTAAGTACTAGAGAAATGGTGGCCAAGATTAAAGAAATGTGATTGTTTGAACAGTCATTCTTTGTTGCGTTATATAACTCTACTTTTAGAGGTTCCGTGATTCATATTTAACACTCCTCCCCCCCCCCTGCATAAAAATTTGGTTGGGAAAGAATAAAACATTATACAATAATTTTGGTTGGGAAAGAGCAAAACAATTCTTTAAGTAATCTCATAAAATCCCTAAAGGACTTTGCCATCTCCCAGCATGAAATGTGTTCAATCTTGCAAATGGGACTAATTTTGCAGAGGTTTTTGGGGGTGATAAATGTGGTCACAAAAATAGATGTGCAGAAAATACTAATCAGAATTCATTCTGAAAATGAATCGCCTTCAGTTAATGCAAAAATCTCATTAAAACAGAGGTAATTTGGATATTAGGGACTACACTGGATAGCATTTGGGGTAATAAGAGTAAAATTCGTGAAACAAGGTATTTCGTTGCCAAACCAGTGTTTTTCAACCTTTATTTAAAAAAAAAAAAAGTACCCCTTTAAAAAAATTAATGTATAAGTATCTCCAGTTTTCAGAGACACACTTTTCCCCCCTACCATTTCAACACATTTGTTTAAACAACTTAATTGTAGCTGGGTGGGCAGTAAAATTTTTGGGTGTAAAAAGTGCAAAAATAATACAATGCCGTAAAATTTGAAACAAAAGTTCAGTTTTCTCCAAATTTCAGTTGTGTTGATGAACCCCTCAGACTTCTCTTGAGTACCCCTAAGGGTTCTCATACCACTGGTTGAACCATGTGCTTTTCCCACCAGCGCTGGGACGTGTGCACAGAGCGACTGCTAACATCTGGGTGCGTGGCTTCGAACATTCAATTTGACAGGCACATGCAGCTGCCCTCTCCCCGGTCCCCGGGATTTTGCAAGGCAAAATCCCGGATACTTTTTGCCTGGTTGCACTTGTGTTGATGTACCAACCAGACTTCTCTTGCGTACCCCCTAAGGGTACGTGTACCACAGGTTGAGAAACACTGATCTAAACTAATTTGTTAAGCCTCTGGTGATTATGGTGGTTAGTACACATGCTCATTCATTGTCAGGTAACTTATTCCATAGATGGTTGTGTAAGATAGGAAGACAAGAGTAAACTTAGTCAACATACCGTTACCAAAGAGCACTGTTTTGTCTGTGTAAAGGACCAGTGATTTTTTCTTAAGAAATGATCATGGGTTTCTGATTTGATACAGAAATTCATTCCCTAATGCACAGCGTGTATAGCAGTATCTATTTCTGAAATTAGCACTAGTAAATATATAGGACAGAAATTTCGGCTGACATACCAATGTGAAAATAGTTTTATTAGTAGGTAGATCTTGTGTTGAACTGATCATGCATGGTACAGCAGTTCTCAACCTGTTTACTATTGTGGGCTGCATATGCAGCTCTCTTTTATGTGGGCCGCATCCATACAACACATATACTGCTTATATGACCCTGAGGATGTCGCTTGGACTGCAGCTGTATGCTGAGTGGCTTGTAAGCATCCCACACATTGAACCACTCTGCTAGAAGATAAATATGAAGGGGACTGGAGATAAAATCTTTGTATTCATTTCTACCATTTTTCTTTTATAGGATGTTACACAGACTTTATGGTGTTTACTGGAGCCTTGCAGTGGGACTGGAATCCTGCAGGACCCATTGCCATAATAGCAGGAGGGGGTGTCTGTATTGAGGGATGGGATCCCATGGGTTCCACAGGACCTGCTGCTATAATAGTGGAGGAGTTGTTGTAGGGCAGGACAGGAACAGAATTAAAAACAGTCCCATGCAAGTCTCTAGCGCCTACTTGAATTATGACTTGTATTATTTCTTTTTTTAAAAGAGTGCATTGTAAGCTTTCTTGTAACAAAATTCCAAATTCTCGTGTGGCATGTTTCCTCCTTAATGCTATCTTACTGTAATCTGATGGTTACTCCTGCTTTATTCCAGATAGTTAGTCTCTGCTATTGTGGAGAATGTGGCTTTTATTCTCAGGGTGAAGTTCACCCCTGTGCAGAGGGAACCTTACACAAGGTCTCTGCTCCATTGTCTGACTTAATTCATAGTGTGAGGTGATGCATAGGCCTTCGGTCGTCCCTGTTGACCAGGGATGAATTTAAAAAATAGACGTGGTCAAGTCAAAACTCTTGAATTTTCAGTCTGTAGCAATGTATGCATAGACCTGCTGGTTTTCTCAGTCTTTATTCACAGAAATTTTCTGTGCCATATTAAGCATCCATTTAAAAATAATTTAAACCATGATTGTGATCCATTTATGTTGAGAAAATGACAAATATGAATCATGCTAAATTGAAGGACACACAGAGAAACATGGGAAGATTTAAACCTAATAATTATTTTAAAAAGTGAGGTAGACCTTGTAAAAGTTAAATCTTGGAAATATATTTTTAAAAGAATATTCTGGGGCATGGCAAAATATATTTTGAAAGCTGAATATAATTAATTTATGCCTGATATTGTTTATCATAAGCAAATTTAAATAGTTGGACTTTTAACCTAGCCAGAAATAGTAGAAATGATTGAAACCCAACATTTGCTTGCATTGTATTTAGTGCTTTGTGAATAGGATGTAGTAAAGTAAGTATGTGGATTAAAAACTCCATCAAACTTTAGTTTATATATTTCATTTTTTGTTACGTTTGTTACATTTTATTGTGTAATTTTATGTACAAGTCAACATTGTTTTTTGTTGCTGTATGTAGTTGGTGCTGTGACTTGTTTGTGCTCATCTCTGTTCTGTAGGCAACTTGCCACTCTCTACTGAATAAAGCTACCGTAAAAGAAAAAAAGGAAAACAAAAAATCAGTAAGTTTGGAGAACTTTTTATTAGCCATTTCTTTCAAAGCAAAAACAAAGTCTTTTGCTGTTTGTTCAGAACATCTTCACCTTTAGCCTATTTGACCTTCACTATAAAATCATTCTACTAATTCTGGCACAAAAATAGCTTTCATTTCAATTAACACTGGGACGAAGTTATATTTTAAATATTCTCTGTGTGCCTATTTGAGTCAACAAAAAGGCATATTTAACCTTAATGCTTGATGTTCAGTATTCTGATCTGTCCTTGCCACCATTTGCAGTTATAAGTAACTGGTAAAAGAAAATTACTTACTGACTTCAGGAAAATCCAGGTCTGCTTTGTTACTTTATCATGTTGGTTTGTAGATGTGAAAGTGAGAAAACTCAAGTAAACACAAATAGTGCACTGAAAAGTGGTTTTTATTTATTTTCCCTTAATTTTGCATTGTGAGTAATCAATACAATATAGCATTTGTACTTGCACAAAATGAGCACATTTCCTAAGATAAGCAACTAATAGGTTAAAGAAAATAGATTTTAAATTAACACCTTAGTATTATACTTTTGCTTTCCTTACAAGAAAACGTGTATTGATATAGTGATGTCATTGAAAGCCAAGATTTATTGTGTTTTGTGGGTATTGCAGTCTGCAAGTGTATGAACACCATGAAGAATAAGATGAATAGAGGAAGAATGCAAGTTGAGCATTTTGTCTCCCATATTTTTGCATTACTTTAGCAGAATGTTAATCATTTTAAATGTAAAAAGTGTGATCTGCAGAGGATTATTATTCTAAAAAAAATTAATCAGTGATTGATGAAGTCATGAGAATTGTGGATGGTTTGTAAGTGCAGCAAAATAGTCTTTAATATATGCTGTGTGTTAATGATATGTTTTCCATGGCATTTCAGGTGAACCAGAAGTTACATGACCACCATTCTGGGTTAAGAACATCTTTAGTAGGACTAGATTTTATATTAAAACTCTCTATTTTTTAAGGATTTCAATTTAAAATCTATTTGAAATATGTAGTCCTGGAAGAAAACAAGAGATTAAATATTCCAAAGTTTACTCTTGGAGATTTATTTCTCACAGAAGATGCAATTTACATTAAATAATGTATTATTTATTTACTACTATTTTTGAAAAATATACTACCACTCCAAATACTAAGTCTGTATAAGGCTATGTTTAAAATTTTGAATGCAAGACTAAAGGCATGTTTGAAACTTTTTGAAGGAAAAGTTTTGTAATTTTATCTGATGGAGAATTATCGTGGTCCTAATGTTTTTCTTTTTCGTTTTCTTTTAAACGACCACGCCATTGCTGTTCAAAGAGAATAGATTTTTCACAATCTTTTTGGGTATGTCTACACTACCCCCCTAGTTCGAACTAGTGGGGTAATGTATGCATACCGAACTTGCTAATGAAGCCCGGGATTTGAATTTCCCGGACTTCATTAGCATAAAGCCGGCGCCGCCATTTTTAAAAGCCGGCTTGTTCGAACCCCGTGCCGCGCGGCTAC